CTTCTCCAGGTGCATACACACTTATTATGACCCACTTTTCACATCCAACCTTTACTTTGATCCACATAATTCTTGAATTTGCACATTCATATTCTCTTTTCTCCTTCCATAACTGATCCTTCAACATTACTGCTACCCCTTCCTTTGCTCTAACTCTCTCAGATACTCCAGATTTAATCCCATTTATTTCCCCCCACCGAAACTCCCCTACCCCCTTCAGCTTTGTTTCACTTAGGGCCAGGACATCCAACTTCTTTTCATTCATAACATCAGCAATCATCTGTTTCTTGTCATCCACACTACATCCACACACATTCAAGCATCCCAGTTTTATAAAGTTTTTCTTCTTCTCTTTTTTAGTAAATGTCTACAGGAGAAGGGGTTACTAGCCCATTGCTCCCAGCATTTTAGTCGCCTCATACGACACGCATGGCTTATGGAGGAAAGATTCTTTTCCACTTCCCCATGGACAATAGAAGAAATAAAGAAGAACAAGAGCTATTTAGAAAAAGGAGAAAAACCTAGATGTATGTATATATATATATGCATGTACGTGTCTGTGAAGTGTGACCAAAGTGTAAGTAGGAGTAGCAAGATATCCCTGTTATCTAGCGTGTTTATGAAACAGAAAAAGAAACCAGCGATCCTACCATCATGCAAAACAGTTACAGGTTTCTGTTTCACAGTCATCTGGCAAGACGGTAGTACTTCCCTGGGTGGTTGCTGTCTACCAACCTACTACCTATTTGAAAATATGTAAAAAAAAACATAGATGTACTTTTGGAGCACTACGGATTTGAACATCGATCTATTTGGACCGTTTAAGGGTTAAACAGACTGTCCGTGTGTACCCCATCAGTTCCCCTTGAGTATTTTGTATGTTTTTATCATGTCTCTTCTGGTCCTTCTGTCATCCAGTGTCATTAGATTTAATTCCGCTGGCCTTTCCTCATAGCTTGTACCCCTTAGTTCTGGAGCTAGTCTTGTTGCATACATCTGCACTTTCTCCAGTTTCTTGACATCCTTCCTCTGGTGTGGGCTCCATGCCAGTAGATACTCCAAAATGGGCCTGTCATATATATTGTATAAAGGGCCTGAAATGGCCTTTAGTGAGATTGTTAAAGGATTTACCAGGTGAGCATTGGCTACAGAGGTTTTTCAGTTGATGTGATACTCTAACATGTTAGGCACTGTGCTTGCTCTTAGATCTTTCTCTTTAAGTGAGGTCTGCAGCCTTTGTCCTCTGAGTCTGTGCTCTGTGATTGGTCTTTTGGACCCTTTCTCAGTCTTAGCCTTGCATTTTCTGTAGCTGAACTCAAGCAGCCATTTTTCTGACCAATCCTGCAGTTTGTCCAGATCCTTATAGTACCTGTTACTCTTCTCCAATCTGCCACTTTTCCTGAATAATCACTCTTTGATCCATTGGAGTACATTCCCTGTTATACCTGTCTGCACCTCTTAAGTTTTTGTCCCAGTTTCATGTGGGGTAGAATATGGTTGTGTGTACATTAAAGCCAGCGGTGCCACAAAGAATAATTAAAAACAAATGCTGAGAACATTTTACTCTGGAAGTAAATGATATAAAATACTGACACAATAGAAAAATAAACACAAGAGTAGTATAATGTGATCCTTTATTAACAACGTACTAGTGAAACGTTGTGAGTAAAGGATCACATTATACTGATTTTGTGTTTATTTTTCCAGCATTTTACTCTACTACAGTACAAGCTACTACCTACTCATGTTAGTTTACAGGTTTTGAGATATTCCTTTGTTAATACATAATTTGGGTAGTGCATATCCTGTGATTAAGTGGTCAGTTGATGCTTTTATGAAGTACAGTGGACCCTCGACCAGCGATGCCATCGATTAACAATAAATCTGACTAGCGATACATTTTATCGCAAAAATTTTGCCTCGATTAGCGCTAAAAAACTCGACCAACACTATTCGTTCCGTCTGAGATGTGTCCACTTCTGGCCAGTGTTTACAAGCCAGCCAGCCACCGCGGCCGCTTCCAAGCATACAGTCGGAACATTTCATATTATCACAGCCTTTTTAGTGATTGCACCTACAAAATAAGTCACCATGGGCCCCAAGAAAGCTTCTAGTGCCAACCCTACAGCAAAAAGGGTGAGAATTACTATGGATATGAAGAAAGAGATCATTGCCAAGTATGAAAGTGGAGTGCGTGTCTCCGAGCTGGCCAGGCTGTACACAAAACCCCAATCAACCATCGCTACTATTGTGGCCAAGAAAACGGCAATCAAGGAAGCTGTTCTTGCCAAAGGTGCAACTATGTTTTCAAAACTGAGATCGCAAGTGATAGAAGATGTTGAGAGACTGTTATTGTTATGGATAAACGAAAAACAGATAGCAGGAGATAGCATCTCTCAAGCGATCATATGTGAAAAGGCTAGGAAGTTGCATGACAACTTAATTAGAAAAATGCCAGCAACTAGTGGTGATTTGAGTGAATTTAAGGCCAGCAAAGGTTGGTTTGAGAGATTTAAGAATCGTAGCGGCATACATAGTGTGATAAGGCATGGTGAGGCTGCCAGTTTGGACCATAAAGCAGCTGAAAAATATGTGCAGGAATTCAAGGAGTACATAGACAGTGAAGGACTGAAACCTGAACAAGTGGGTTAATGGTGACACTGACAATGTTGTGAACCACTTTAGGAAAGTCATAAAGGAAAAGAGAGGTACAGGTAACTATGGACAGATATGTTGTGCGACAGAAGTCCAGTGACTCTGAAGCTGGTCCTAGTGGCATTAAAAGAACAAGGGAAGTAACCCCAGAAAAAGACTTGCTGCCTCAAGTGCTAATGGAAGGGGATTCCCCTTCTAAACACTAACACCTCTCCCCTCCTCCTATCCCATCAATCATCACCAGATCTTCAATAAAGGTAAGTGTCATGTAACTGTGCATGTAATCTTCAGTTTGTGTGTATTAAAATTAATATTTCATGTGGTAAAAAAATTTTTTTTTCAATACTTTTGGGTGTCTTGCACGGATTAATTTGATTTCCATTATTTCTTATGGGGAAAATTAACTTGACTAACGATAATTTTGACTAACGATGAGCTCTCAGGAACGGATTAATATCGCTGGTTGAGGGTCCACTGTACAGTAAGTTTTAAGTACATTATTTTATTTCTAATAGGGGTTTAGTAATGTTTGTAATATGGAAAATAGGGTAGTGGCCTGTCATCATGTCAGCAATTATACCTGACTAGTGGGGCATTTGCATTGGTTCAAATTTGGTCTAGTTTAGAAGCAGATATGTCAGTAATTCTAGTGAATTTAGATATAAAATATAACAAATTATCTTGAAAACTTGAACTATATTGCTTACCTGGAGACGGTTTTGGGGGTCAGTGCCCCCGTGGCCCGGTCTGAGACCAGGCTTATGGTCAATACACTGTTAGTTTATTTGATAAAGCATCAGTACCTGGACTGTTGTGGTGATTGTAGGTTTTGTTCTATACATTGCCTGTGTTATGGCCAGTGTCACTGAGACAAGTTTGAGGTTAGTGTTTACAGGTAATCACAAATGCATTACAAAGCACTACTGTGTCAAGTCAGATTTGTCAAAGTATATGTCCTGTAACCTTTAACCCTTTCAGGGTCCGTCCCGTAGATCTACGGCTTTACGTTCAGGGTCCAAACCGTAGATCTACGTCATGAGCTCAGCTCACTCTGATCAACTGTGAGTGGTAAATTTGGGCCTAGATATGAGAGAATACATCTATGTGGTATGTGTGCACCACATAAAACAAATCCTGCATCACACTGTGTATAATGAGAGAAAAAAAACTGAGACTGTGATTTTCGATTAAAGCAGCGACTTTGCAGTGTTTTTTCGTATGTTTTTTATAGTTGTATTTGTGATTTCTTGGTCTCATTTGATAGAATGGAAGACATTTCACAGAAATAGAGATAATTTTGATTGGTGTTTGCACTGGAAATGGCTTGAAACTGAGCTCAAAGTGGCGGAAATGTTAAATTTTTGCCGATGTTCAAGAGTAAACAAACGACCTCACACGTCTTATACACGCCAGTTGGTGGGTCTAATATACATTCAAAAATGTGGTGATGATATTTATACAATTATTACAATATTGCATAACAGTAAATCTTCTATTTTTTGGTGTGAATAAAAATTCATTATGTGAATAAAAATTCAAAATGGAATTTATTTGTAAAGCCTCAAAACATAACTAATGAACAGAGGAAATGTTAGTTTAGTGCCAGGAATACCTACATTGTTTATTCTGGACCCTATTTTGAAATTGGAATATTTTGAACTTTGTGTTAAATTGGCCAAATTACCAATTTCCGGTCACTTTATTTTGTAGTTGAAATGGTTGACTTGGCGATTTCTTGTGCTCAATCGATAGAATAGAAGTAATACTAGTGAAATAGCTAAGAATTTGGTCGACTGGAATAATGCAATTGGCCTAAAATGGGAGTCAAAGTCGGCAAAATCGCCGATTCGTAAATATCGCTGACACATCAAAATTCACGAGAGCATAATTTCGTCAATTTTCCATCAAATTTCGTACTTTTTGTTTTATTACCTTCACAAAAAGATTCTCTACCATTTCATAAGAAAAAATAAAAAATTTTTTTTTGAAAATTCTTGGACACTGGGGCACCACTTCAGATTTTGGCCTTGGACCCTGAAAGGGTTAAAGCAAGTACATGTATGTGCTGTTTTTTTTTCAGACACTGAATTAGGCAGACAGTGATTTCTGGGTGTCTGCTTTAACTCTTGACACCAATAATGATGCTGAAATTCCTTAGTAAATATTTCAGGAAGTTCAAAAATCTTCAATTACTTTGGCTTATGCTGAACATATGAGGATTAAAATATCTTTTTGTTACATTATTATTAGCATGGGGAGCACTAAACCCAAAGGGATTATACAGCCTGTGGGGGGGTGGGATGGACAGAAGGAATTCAGGCTCAATTTATGAATCTCTATTACAGATTCAGCCTAACAAGAGGATCTCATCAGAGGCAGCACTAAGACATACTTATTTTGCCGAATTACCTCCACAGATATACGAACTAGCTGCAGGTGTGTATGATTCTTTGTATTTTTAGAAAGTGATAACATTTTGGATGCTGATGTTTATACTGTGTCTTATACTGAATACTAACATCTTGTTCTACATCAGTTACAAATGATTTACTGATATGCATTTTTAAGAATCTGTTAATTTTGCCTCCCAACATATTTAAGAGGCAGTGAAACCATTGACAAATATGATCATATTCACTTTACAAGAGAAATGTTCTCCATTAAAGGCTTGCCTGTGTCGATCATTTCTTCAACTGAGGAGTAATATAGAATGCTGAATCACTCTTCATGCACTGCTGTATCTTCCCATTTCTTCATTATCATTTGCTTCAACTTTTCTGCTACTAAATATTGTCATAAAAAAACCAAACCATACCACGGGCGGGGATAGAACCCGCGATCAGAGAGTATCAAAACTCCAGACCATCACGTTAGCCACTGGGCCAGCTAGCCACAATAAGATTCATCGAACTAGGTACATTTCTACACCATAGGTATGGAATGGTTTGTTTGCAATCGTGTCATTACGATTTCATGAGTATATTTTCATAATTGCTATTTCTGCCGCCATCATTACAAACACATTAACCATTGACACCCACCATTCTTATTCCTCATTTAGCCCCCCTACCTAGCACTGCCACCACCCATTTTGTTTTTTGTGCTTTATTTACACTTGATGAGCTGTAACAAAAGATTTGATTCTGACTTGCACTTTTCAGAATAACTTTACAGCTCTTTTCAGAACAACTTTCCTGCTCTTTCTCATATCTTTCTGTATTAATTTCTGAGGAAAACACTGTAAAGTATCAAGTCTGTTGTTTCCATAACTATTTTGTTCATGATGAGAGGGTAATGTCTCAGAAGTGTTATTTCTCACATCCTATTTCTGTCCGGAAATTTCAACCTCTATTATTATAATCATAACAGTGCTGCTTTAACCTCTATGAGCAGCACAGGGAGACCACTTAGTGACACTTCCCATGAGAAAAGTGTGTTGAAAGGGGGGGTGTATAGACCTCTGTAAAGGCAACAGAGATGCATTGAAATATCTTCTAGGTTTTCTATGTAATATATAGGAGGGCCCTGCATATACAGCACCCTCTTTTGGTGTTGCACATTTTTGTTGGATTTCAATTGAGCTATTGTTCATCATGTTTGGTGCTTTTACCACTTTTCTGCCATTTTTGCAAAACAGTTGTGTAAGGGAAGGGCAACCAGCACTATATTTTACAGTAAGTGTTGCATATACTGTGTATTTATTTTACTTCTTTTATCTGTTTTGTTACGCCTAGCTGTATTGAGCACTTAATATATGAGTGCAAACACGTTATCAGACATTTTAGATGCATGCAGTAATAATACTACAGTAGACTGTTATATTACACGGTGGTTACGTTCCTGAAAACACTGTGTTGGGTAAATCTGTGTTAGATAAACCAAAGAACTTATGGGAAAAATAGGGTTACATTCCTGGGAGTCCCAAAAAAGCCAAACGAGTTTTTTTTTTTTTTTTTTAGACCTCCAGATCTTACAAAAATAAAAGTGAATATGTAATTGTAGCTCATTGTCGTAATGTATTATGTTGTTTTTACTGCTTAACCCTTTCACTGTCGGTGCTGTAGTACTACGGCTTGCAAGCCAGTGTTGGTGCCATAGTATTATGCCAAAATTCTAGCAGGAGAAAGCTGGTAGACTTACATGTGAGAATGGGTCTGCGTGGTCAGTGTGTACAGTATAAAAAACAAAATCCTGCAGCACACAGTGCATAATGAGAAAAAAACTCCAACCGTGTTTTGGGTTTAAAACACCGACTTTGAGGTGCATTTTTGTATGGTATTTATGGTTGTATTCATGTTGTTTTGGTCTCGTTTGATAGAATGGAAGTTATATTACAAAAATAGAGATGATTTTGATTGGTTTCACAACGAAACATACCTTGAAATTGAGCTCAAAATAGTGGAAATGTTTAATTTTTGCTTATGTTCAAGAGTAAACAAATGACGTCACCGTCCAATACGTGTCCAACTGGCCAGTTTAATATGCAGTCTCGAATGGGTTGACATTATTTATACAATTATAATAATGCAGTAGTGTGCATATCAGTAAGTCTTCTATTTTTTATGAATAAAAATTCAAAATGGAAAGCAAGAGTAATATTTATAAGAGGTGCCTGGAGATGTGACTAGGGAACAGAGAAAATGTTATTTTGGTGCCAGGAATGTCTGCATTGTTTATTCTGGACCCTATTTTGAAATTTGTGTGAAATTGGCCAAATTGCTATTTTCTGACCACTTTATTTGGTAAATGAGCGGTTTCTTGTACTCAAGTCGATAGAACAAATGGAGTTCTAGCGAAATTGCTATGAGTTTGGTCAACTGGAACAATGGAATTGGCAGAAAATAGGGCTCGAAGTGGGCGAAATCACTGATGCGTATATATCGCCGAGACCACTAACTTCGCGAAAGTGTAATTCCGTACGTTTTCCATCAAATTTCGTATTTTTGGTGTCTTTACCACCAGAAAAAGATTCTCTATCATTTCATAAGAAAAAATTAAATTCCAGTGACTGACTAATAGTCCTTACAAACTAACTTCTTGACCAACCTGGCAATCAGAACAGCTTGCTTGAACAGTAAAACGACCGATTCGCCAAGCAGCAGTATAACAAGCAGCAGCAACACAGAATCAAGAACAAGGAGATAACATAACCCTAAGTAGGGACCATCTGCAGATCCTCCACAAAAGTCACAAAACTCCCATACTACTGAATCTAAGTTCAGCGTAAGAAAATCCCCGACTGTGACGGTGCACAGATACCAGTACAAATTAGGTCAGAAGCTACAGCTGAGAACCTGAGTTTTTTTTTTTTTTTTAAATTCTTTGACACTGAGAGCAAGTTTGTGAGCAGGGGGTCTTGAGAGTGGAAGGGTTAAGACTACAAATGCAACAGAAATAATAGTATTTCTTACCTTAAATTGTGGGTGTTGGCATTTGTCGATGATTGTGAAGAGTTATGCTGTGGCCCTGCTGGGCTGCAGTGGATGATAGAGGTTCTGGTATTGAAGCAGATGGTTGTACTGGAGTGTGCATAAATTCTGTAATGGATTTCTATTCTATTTTACCCTGCAGTACATTATACAGCTGACGGTAAGTCATCAGCTGCTCTAGACACCATTTCAGAGCACTGCTTCTAGATTTGTCAGGGTCCTGTTCAGTGAGAAAGTCTAACTTTCAGTCAGTAAATCAGTCAAGTTAGTCATTTATCACACAAACTCCAAAATTTACCTCATTCTTTTTAATTGTACAAACTGATACTTCATTAAGGCCACAGGCTACCTCTTGTCTAATACTGTAGACCATCATTTAACCCTGTGTCTGTTTCGGTCATATATGTATGTCTTACGAGCCACCGTGTTTGATGTATATATATTCATAAATTCTAGCTGCTTCAAATCAAGCAGGAGAAAGCTGGTATGCCCACATGTGAGAGAATGGGTCTCTGTGGTCAGTGTGCACCATATAAAAAAATCCTGCAGCACGCAGTGCATAATTAGAAAAAAAAATCCGACTGTTTTTTTTTAATTAAAATGCGAAATTTGTGGTCTATTTTCATATAGTATTTATGGTTTTATTCTTGTTTTCTTGGTCTCATTTGATAGAATGGAAAACATATTATAGAAATAGAGGTGATTTTGATTGGTTTTACTATGAAAAGAACCTGGAAATGGAGCTCAATTAGGGGAAATGTTTGATTTTTGCCGATGTTCAAAAGTAAACAAATGATGTCATTGTCCAATAAATGTCCAACTAGCCATTCTAATATGCAGTCATAAATGGGTTGACATTATTTATACAATTATTACAATATTGCAGTGTTACAAAAAATGCAATATCTAATAATGATAGAGATCGCCAGTGAATACTAGTGTATGTGTGTAAGTGCTCTAAGTAGTTCGCTATGTCTCAAGACTTGATTAGACCTAACCAGTGACTGACTAAAAGTCCTAACATAAACTAACTTCTTGACCAACCTGGCAATCAGAACAGCTTGCTGGAACAGTAAAATGACCAATTCGCCAAACAGCAATATAACAAGCAGCAGCAACACAGAATCAGGAACAAGGAGATAACATAATGACCCTAAGTAGGGACCATCTGCAGATCTTCCACAAAAGTCACAAAACTCCCATACTATTGAATCTAAGTTCATCATAAGAAAATCCCCGACTGTGACGGTGCAGAGATACCAGTTCAAATTAGGTCAGAAGCTACAGCTGAGGACCTGAGTTTCTCAGAGTGTCAGTGTGACACACAACCTCAGTAAAATTTCGAAAATCACTAAGTCTAGGCTATGCTCTGTGAACAGAGTTACACAGAAATAACAACAAGAGAGAGCGACAGAGATGATGTTCCAACAAGGGCCAGCAAGGGAGAGCTAGAGAGGGAGGTGTTGTTGGAATCATCATCAGAGAGAGCTTGCCAGATGCAAGGCAGTCTCCTCACCTAGGTGAGGTGTGATCACCCCACCCTGATCACGTGATTCTCCTTGGACTGTTGCTGCCCAGCAACTACAGAGAAGCCGGCAGTGAAACAAGCGGAGTGGTAGTTTGCCAATGCGGGCAGCTACTTAACACTCTAGCAATGAGCACTCAATAATGTGTAAATGGTACATTCTACCTAATAATATAATTAAGAAATAATACTATAAAGCAATATATTTATCATTTAGCTAATATCGCAAATATCAACAATATGAAGTTATATGAACAGGTAATATACATTATATACATTGTGACCTATTCAGGGGTTGCAGTATGCAGTAGTCTGCATAACAGTAAATCTTCTATTTTTTGTTTGAATAAAAATTCATACAAGAAAGCAAGAGTAATATCAGAGGGGCCTGGAGACATGACTGATGAACAAAGAAAATGTTATTTTAGAGCCAGGAATGTCTACATTGTTCATTCTGGACCCTATTTTGAAATTGTCATATT